CGCTGGAGGGGTCACCTCCTGAGCCAGGGTAGCCAAGTACGGCAGCTCCATTCCCCCTGTTTAGTTCAGCCCAGGCCTGGGGGTCACCACGCCTGGATACCGGCCCGAGGCTCATTTCGGCAAAGGCCCCGTGTTGTCTCTCCATACGGTTAGAGAGCTGTGCCCCTGAGTGTCAGTCTGTCTGCGAGTCCATTTGTCCAAGAACTCCTCCTAAATGGAAAGAACCAGAGCCCCCCCATTGGGGGGCAGCTTCCTCTTCTCTGACCCGAACGCCAGGCGCGTTTGGTTGTGCCAGGACAATGGGAAGTGCTGGGAATGGGACTGGTTTCCACGGAAATGGAGGGGCACAAAAGGGAGGGATGTGATACTGAGCGTGCTCACTGGGGGCAGCTACACCGCCAGGGCTGGGGCTTCACCATCTTGCCACCAGACCAGGTCCGTAGATGCTTGCCCCAAGCCCCTCCCCCCGTGAGTACCTGCGCCACGGGAATGGCATGTCAGGTGGGTGGAACTAGTGAGTGTGGGTGGAGTTTGGGAAGAGCACCAAACCATTCCCCTGGCCCCGGCTGCCCCTGTGGCGGAAACGATGCAACTCGCGAGGGTCCCGGAGGCCAGGGGGCCCTTTCGCCCCTCGGCTTGTTGGCAGCAGGGGAGACTGGGGCAAAGGGACGTGTCCGAGCTGGTACTGCCAGCCCACAGGGTGAAGGACACGCTTGCTCTTCTCTCTCCAGCGGGGACCCTGACATGCAAAATGTGTTTCGGCTCGACGGAGACCTGCAGATTGCTTTACGGAACCTGCCAAGACGACCAAGAGACGGGCGACTGCTGAGTAGGTGACATTGCTCTCACCCCGGCCACATCTCACCCTGCCTCTGTCCCCTGTGGGGCCACGGTGCTACTGACGGGATTTCATCCGCTGGGTTCCCAACCCCACCCAGGCCGGCTGCGCAGCAGCAAGAGAAGCTGCACCGGGGAGAAACACACTTTCTGAGGGGGGTGGAAAAGGAGATTGGGGGGGGGATCCCTTGGGCCCTGCCGGCCGCTCCTAAAGCCCGTCCAATGCCCTGGGCCACCTGCTCAGACCTGGGGCCCTTCCTCACACCTCACTGCCCCCTACTCTCCACTCACAAACCCTTTACCTCAGCCTGGCTGACACAATTCGGGGTACAGTTTAGGCCTCGGCTCCTCTTCACCCTCCTGAATTGTGGCCCCAGAATCAGACACGGGATCCCAGCAGCCGCACAAGGAGGTAAAATCCCCTCCCTGACCCTGCACGAGGGTCCCTCCCAGCCATTTCCCGTTTTGCTTTTCCGCATGTGACAAAGACGGGACGGTGAAGAAGTTCTTCTCCAGACAATGTTTCCGCGGCTATAACAATCAACTGAACGTCCCCCTCACGTTCTCTGTGGGGAACGGCCAGCGCGTGATTATCAACGTCACACAATGCAACACCACCGATCTCTGCAACTCGGCCTTACCCCAAGGTACGTTGCAGGTCTGTCTGTGTTTGTCTCAAAAGGCTGGCACAGGGCAGATTCACACCCCGGGCACTGCGCACACCCCCTCCCTTGCTACAGTCAGACTGTTCACATGGCACAACCGTATTTGTTCCCCATTTTCCCCTTTATTGCCCCAAACTCTGTTTCCTCCTGTGTCACTTGTCTCCAGTGAGATCCCTGTAGCGGGCGGGTCACAGGCGGGGGTAGAACAGTCGGGGCCCGTTTGCCATCAGATGGGTGAGGCTGCATGCGAGGAGGGAGCAGCCACCGGGACAGGCTCAAATCTAAACTTCCCGGCCCCTATCGGCTCCCCCTTCACACTCGCCGGGATCCAGAACTGAGCCAGTGCGGCCGTCGCCAACTGTTGTGTCCCAGACAGAGGGAGAAATGCCCCGGCTGCAGGGAGGGGCCTGCACATACTGGGCGAGGCCGGGCCCAGCCCCCAGCTGGGACGAGGTTTCACCCACCCGGTAACCG